ATAACCCTTTCTTGTTTATAAGTGAATCGGTCTTTATAAATTTGCATAGATCTACATAAATCATCTTTAAAAAATGCAAATATTATACAAGAAAATTGTCGAGAAGACAAGTAAATTTTGACAAAAAACAGGGAAAAAATAACACTTGTAAGACCTTTCTTTTTACTAAAGATTTTGAATTTATTGTAGAGAATTTCCTAAATTCTAGATTAATTATAGGGTTATTTACTTTATAAACTATAACTTAAAGATATATAATGTGAAAAATACGATATAGAATCCATTTTTAAAATGATTTATAATGTTAAAGAGGATTACAGACCTGAATAAATCCTCCTCTATTCAAATATTCTCTTTGGGTATCCAATAAGAGATTTAAATCGGTATAACTCAAACAAAATTCGTGATTAACCCGACAGTTAATGCCCTGATTGAAAGAGAAAATTAATCATCATCATCGTCATTATCATCCCTCACGTTCATTGATACTTGATAAGCAAAGAAACGGACTTACCAGAATTCCAATTGCTTCCGGATCTAATCTCATTAATGCTTCTGTAACTCGATCGCTGACCGAATCTATGGCGAATACTAAGTTCGTGGTGTCACTAACTACACCCCTTTTGATGTTATTGGTCATGACGTTGTCTGTATGCCTCATATCTGGCTGCCCGTTCACTTCTACTACGTACGGGTGCAGGGATATGTCGAACAGGATGTCGAATCCTAACAATTGGAAGCATTGTTGACACCTGTAACACCGTTATACGTAGCAATTAACACGATTACAGGATGGATAATTGACTCTTAATGTACTTTAATTAATAAAAGTTTAAGCAATTACAGCTTCGTGAGACTCTGGCAAATTTAAATTAGGGGTTTCCATGTATCTATTTTCTTTTTTCGAGGGAATTTTTACGGGGAAAAAATTTTCTTATAAAAGTTTGGTTTGGGGCTCCCTGCTAGCGGGGCCCTAGGCAATTTCCTCCCTTTTTTTTGTCCATAAGTTAACACGCCGCTGAGTTTAAGCGTTAATTGATGGTGTTTAAGTTGTGTGAAGTATTGTTTACGCTTACTCGTGGCTTCGTAGTGGCGTATTTTTTTAATTTATAGTGTAATATATTTAGATAATTACACCGAATAATTGTTGTAGATCGTATTGTTATGGAAAGTTTTGAAAAATATTTACATTAAACACTTTCAGAACTTGAGGGAATCAATTGTTAAAGAATGGAAGTGCTCTTAGCCAGAGGTGTTGTAAGTTAATAATAAAATCGCTCGAGAACTGGTTCCGTATTTAAAATATCGAATTATATAGTTTATAAAGTAAAGTAGGACCACGATTTTACGTCCTAATTGGTTAATAAAAAGCCGCCGTAAAGTGAGCGCCATGATTATGTTCCCGGAAACGAGATGACCAATATGGCATTTTATTTAATTAACAGCAAATCTAAATCAGTCGTAGAAGCGGGGGATTTGTAAAGTAGGAATCTACTATAATAAAATACAATTTTAACTATGTAATATCGCACAAATAATACATTCATACGGTCATAATGTAAAATTTAAATCAGTCGTAAAGCGGGGGATTGTAATGGCTTTAAGTATTTTTACTTATTGACTTTAAGAGATAAATTTCAAAAAATCTTTACATAAAATTAAAATTAGAATTTTTGAATAAAATAATAAATAGTAAAGACGATATATTCCGAATAAAATTAACGTTAGTATCATGATTATAAATTAGTCAATTTAGAATATTTAAGCCAATCCTCTACTTAAAAACTGATTTACGATTCTTATGAAAATTGATTAAGAAGAGGAAAGAACGTCTTAGAATGAAAATTTTATATATAAATTCACACTTCTATTGAAAATTTTATAGTGTTTCAAGTAATAAAATTGATATGCAAATGACGGCATTATTTTTAAAGTAAAAATCTCGCCTTCTCTGAGCATTATCTTCGGTAGAAAGCAGGGTTTCTAGGGATAATAAAATCTGAACCAGAACACCAAACAATCTTCTTATAGCTAATCTGACGGAATGATCGCCATTTTTAATCCTTAGATGGTTCCAGAACTGATTCATGTTCCATACTTGGCTCGGTATCTGCAAGAACAGAGAGAGAGAGAGAGAGAGAAAAAAAAAATAAAATCTGAAACACATCACCTGTGTGACGTGGAATTGTAGAGAATAAAGCAAAGTTTACCTTTCTTAAAGTTCTATTCCCTACCAAATGCCTTCTGTAAACGATTCCTTGCGTGTGTAAGTATGCCCTTAGAGGGAAGGTCGATGTGATGAGGATGTAGATTCGAAGGGTTACAGGTTGCCCCAGTATTGTTAGAGGTAACGATGGATAAGGTTGTATAATGGCTCGAATGGAACGAAATCTGTCACATTACGATTTTTGAACATTACACATCTACATGTGAATAAATTATTTCAAAATAAAATTTTCTTTTATATTTAAATCTTAAAGTTTTATAAACCTTTAATGTAAACTAGTGAATAATTATGCAGGAAGATAGAAAAAATTTTAATGCTTTTCAGTACGAATCCGTGTATAATTTTTGCTTCTTTATATTAAAAAAAGTTTACATTTTTAAACAATTTTTATGAGTAAATTAATCGATTTTTTATTTACTTTAACTAACCAAAATGTTAAGTTTTATCAGGAATTTATGAGGAATAAATTAAATATTTTATGTAATAATGAAAAGCACTAAAAGTGAAATTAATTTAAGGATTTTTATACTGTTATAAGCATTGTTTACATCGCAAAAGTATTAAATTTATTATATTTTTTTTTTATTAAAATGTAAGCTTGGGGTACCCAAGAAAACAATATAACCTACAGTAAAGAGGGATTAAAGATGTAAAGTATAAAAATGTAAACTTACTCGTCCATTTGTTTGATAATGTCCGATGCTTCCAGCACCTTCCAATTCTCTCCAGATTGAAGTTGTACTAACCAATTGAGATTAGAAGAAGTGGCAGATGAAATAAAGACGTCGTAGTCAGATGGCAGGACGTAACAAGATACGTTAGAGTTGCGAAGAAGGGAACAAATGGCTTCTCTTTGCCAAATATTGCTACGAAGAGAAGGGAGTTTGTTCAACTTAACACCCTGCCTGTTACTCTTCTGCCAGCAGTTTAAAGGATCGGAAAAGGTGAAGCAGATCAACAGATGAGGTCGAAGATTGTCTGCAAAGAAGGAAGGAAAAGAAGAAGGTTAACTTATCTAACGAAGGACAGAAAAATTCGGGAATGGTCCTTACCGGAGTTGTTGCCGGACGACCACGTCTTGACGATAAAACCCAGATTTTCTAGTACTGCTTGATAAGTAGAGAAGTCTCGTGCGATGATCGAACTTTGACCCCTGACTAACGCTATTTTGGAATTAGTTTCTTTCCATAATCTAAGAGTCTTCTCTTCGATCTGCAACGGTGAATAAATAATGAAAACACGAAGCGATTAAGGTAAAACTATTCTCAATTTACAAAGAATTTACTTCGGTAAGAAGTCGATGAATTCGACTTCTAATACAGGATGTACTTCCGCTTTCATTTCCGATCTGATTTAAGATGCTCCTCTTTAAAGTAGTCGAAGAATCGAAACCTAAATGGCGAGGAATATAAAGCAAGAGATTTTTTTTTTGTAGAAGAAAATAGATTAAGAAGTCTTTATTTTCTTACCACTGAAGGTAGAGTGATATTGAGGATTAAAAACTCTATGGTTGAAGTACAAACTAAGTGAAGTCAACAATAGAGCGAGGCACAACCAATCGCGAATACATCGAACTCGAAACCATGGACGGAGACGCATCTGTAAAACAAAAATTCAAAATAAATTCTAGCCTCATGTATATGATAATATATGAAGCAAATATGCCCAAAGACATGAAAAAACACTAAACTACATCATGATAAATAAAAGTTGTAATTGCAATGTATATAAATTTTATTTAGATGTCAATTTTTTCCAAAATTTCCTTTGTGTAGTTTTGATGAGACTATTATAAAAATTCTGAGCATCATTTTTGTTGCATCAGCATAAGACAACGGATGCAAGAAGAATCACTTTTTTGTATTTTGTTACCAAATCCTTAACCCCTTATTTTTAGGCTTTTTGAATAGCTTACAAACGAAATATAATATTTATAGCAGACTTCTGAAGATTTGAAAACATGATTATGCATAAACTACTTATATATCAAAACATCTGCCACAGTAATTAAATTATAAAACTTGACATATAAAAGAAGTTGGCAACCTGTAGTTCCCCACATACAAGATGCTACTCTTCCTCTATACAGAATATTTTCATAGTTATTGATCCACAGCTTAGTGAAATCTTTACTATGAGATAGCTATAGTTTGTAGGCTGTAGATAAAAACTTGCATAATAATTTTTCATAGATTTTTCTCATACCATAGAACAACTCTTCCAAGGATTAGTTTAAAAATGATTGCACCAGGGAAGCCTTTTCATTACATACAGGCATCATCATCATCATCATCATCATCATCATCATCATCATCATGAAGATTGTACAGATGTTTTCAAACATTACGGCTGTGATTTAATGGAAGGGAATGTGGCTGTGGAATAGGAAAATGTTACAAAATGAATATAGAAGTGAAACTTAAAAATGTGGCTTAAAATTAATTTTAGATGATATTGTAATATAAGAAGTCAGTGTTACATATATTTAAATGTATAAAATAAATAAGATAATCATTAAAAAAATAAAATAATAATGAGAATAAATTGAAAAATAATATTAAATTAAAAAGTATTGGTGAAGAAATGATAAAAATTACAACTCAGTGGCACAATTTGTAACAAAAACTCTGCATTGTTAATGCTTTTGAAAGATTAATGCATTCAAGTTTTCAACATTTACAATTTCTTAGTCACTATTATAATGTCTGCTTGATAAAAGAAAATTACTAAATCATCATTTTTTTTTATAAGTGACTATTGCAGAACAGATATCTTCTATCTTTATTATCTAATATCTTACAATAATTTGGTTTATAGCAAAATGTGAAATCAGTTTTATTGTGTTTATTGTAGCTTATTCCTTTATATAAACAAGACATCCAAAAATTTTTTAAATCATAAAAAACAGTACATTCTTGCTAATCTGGGTCCTCATTTATCCAGCACATCCCCCTAGTGCGATTGCCTATACACTTCTGTTTCCATGAAAACATTAGCTGTGTTAGACATCCAGTTCTCCTGTTTACTCAGGCTTCTATCCTGTTTATTGTCAGCATGCTGTACTATTTTTCCTCATGTCTCCAAGAAGAATCAGTACTAGGTCACATTGTTCATTACCCTTAGGCCTATACGCTCAGTAATCCAGCAAGCTCGCTAATCTGCCACCTATTGATGTAAGGAACAGTCAAATTTGCAAGAGTGTTTTCTTATATATTATTTTTATCAAAAATATACCAAATTCCTCACAATGCTTTAACCACAGAAATTAGTTATATTTTAGTCTAATCACTATTTTGTGTTCTCAAATTCTAGTTCACAGCTGTCTCCCTGTTTCCCCTATATAATTAACTGTATTTACATATGTACAATTAAGTTTATAGACTACCCCCAGCCTCCTCCAAATTGTCTTCTTTCCTGTTTTATTACATTATTTTATTTTTCATTCCTACATTTATGAGCATATGGCAATTATACATGTATGTAATACATAAATTTAAACGATGGGATAAAAACACAAGGCGTGAGAATGGATATCATGCAGAAAAAAGCTTGCAACAAAACATATATCATCAATTGATGATATACAAATAGTGGAAATTTTATAAATTGTTTTATTTGCTTTGTATAAAAGAGAAAGGTCAGTTTATAAGTTTGTTTTTTTATATAATACTAGCAGACCCCGCCACGCGTTGTTGTGGCTCAAAGTGTATAAATGTATAACACTTCCCCGTGTGGGGGGAAATTTTTCGAAAAATTTCTTTTTAGTGTACATTCTCTTGGCGTGCCCTATTAAAACGGAATCAAAAACACAAAAAACCGCATCTAAAATAGTAGAAATAGAAGCAGAGTTCTTTATGGTAAGCCTTAATCCTGTTCATCTCCCCCCAGTGGGGGGAATTTCGACACGTATATTATATAAAAACACGTGCGTATTCGAATGCAGCGTTGTGTGAAAATTTCAAAGGAATTGGTAGGAACAAACGAACATTACATTTTTATT